AAAAAACGTATAAGAGTTTGATATGCTCAATTGATGAAAGCGGAATGAGAATAGGTTCTCACTATTAGAACGCAAGCTAGACATGTGTGACAACGGTGGCAGTGGAGCAGGTGTTTAGTTTCAGCAAAAACATTTTGGCCGACTACAATACTATTATCAATATCGAAATACTAGAGACAGTACTATGCAACAAGATTGGATCTTGGCGAAACAGTGACGACAAGATGTGAGGTACATGGACCACAATGACTACATGGATGCTACAATCATATAGGAAAGTGGTAGTTCAAACGAGTAACGCATTAAATATTTTTTTTATTGATGCAATTTAGTTTTTAGGTGACGATCTATAAGCTTTTCGAGTATTTTTTTACGGTTTTACCTTGTTGTTTTTTAAAGCATCAAGATATCAAACGTAGAACCTATTCTTTAGGGCTAGAAAAAAAGAGCTGAATATTGGAAGAAACTAGAAAAAGCTGAAAAAACTAGAAGGAATTAAAGAAATCTGTAAGAAACTGAAGAAAACTGGAAAAATGGAAAGAAAATAGGAAAAATGGAAAGAACTGAAAAATGGAAAGAACTTCTAAAATTTATTTATGTAATTTACATATTATTGTAATTATAATTGTTGTTGTTGTTATTAACATTATTATTATTATTGTGATTATTATTAATTTTATTATTAGTATATATAAAGAAAGTCAATAAAATTTGACCACATGAATAGTGTACATGTCATTTAATTAGAGACAAAGAGAGTAGTATAATTTTTATTTTTTAAATTAAAATATTGATGTTTAGCCCAAGTCAATTTAGATTAATAAAATATTTCTAATTTTTTAGAGTTTAGTTTCATATAAATTAATTAAAAAAAATTTCCAATAAGATTATACTTTGTATTATTTATATTTAAAATAAAATGAAATATAATAATAAGTGTGAATTACAAAAACAGTAACATTAGATTAAATAAAATTGAAGAATTGAAAAATAAACAAAACTTATGAACTTAATAATAATAATAATTGTAACACCTTAATCCGTCCAGGTCTGCAGCCCCTTTGGGACTAAAGTATTTAACTTGGTAATCGTAAAAATTTAAAACTTTTCAAACATTATTATTTATCATAATAATATTTTTCATAACACATACAGTACGGAGTATTCAACAATATTGCGGAAGCGAATTTAATTTTGACATATCATAAATCATTTCAAACTTGTCACATCCATCCCGACAATCTCGCCCCATCTGCCGCCAGAATCACATTAATCTTTCTATTTACCTGCGTGTAGCAAATAAAACACACTACACGCTCAGCGGTAAAGCTGAGTAAGCATATCTAATGCGTTGAACATCCATATAAACTGAATCTAAATTCATAATCAAATCTTTTGATATCATGCACACAAGGTTCGTTTCAGACATTCACAGTTTTGATATTATTCAGTTCATATCAACACATTTTATTCAATTCAGATACTATTTCAATAGTGCTCTTAAATTATTCTTAATCTAAGGCCAGATCATAACAACGCTCTTAGCTATTCTTAGTCTAAGGCCAGATCATAATAATGCTCTTAACTATTCTTAGTCTAAGGCCAAATCATAATAATGCTCTTAGCTATTCTTAGT